AAATTAATCATTCTCATTTTTAATGTATCTCTTTCTTTCTCTTTATCTATCTCTCTCTCTCTCTCTCTCTCTCTCTCTCTCTCTATCTCTCTCTCTCTCTCTCTCTTTCTCTCTCTCTCTCTCTCTCTGTCTCTCTCTCTCTCTTTACATAGCAATTATCAACGTAGAATACATACTTCTTGTATTACGTCTTGATCATTAATTGCTTTCAATACTGCCTTTTTACTTGTTTCTTGTACTTCACCGCCAAGTATAAATTCATCGAACATAAAATAAGCTTTTTCAAAATTAAATATAATATCCAATTCACATACCTAAAACGAAAGAGATATTAGAGATCTTACAAATTAAACATTTTCATCGTTTTTTACACTTCCAAAATATTTGTCTAATAGCTCAACGTAACGATGAATTGTTTCAAGTGTTAATAATTCATTATCTTCTTGTTCAATACCACAACAAAAATATAAACTAGCATATCTAAAAAGTAGAATTATCTATACTCAATTCATACAAAACAATCTATAAAACATACCGTTTATAAACAACTTTTAATTCTTTCCATTCAAGAAAACTTGACATTTTCGGCTTTCGAGCTAATATTGTTGCAACTAATTCACGTGTAATTTTTTTCTTTGATTTATCCGTTTGTGCTGTATACCATTTTTGCAAACGTAATTTACCTTGACGACTGAACAGTAAAATAAACTGAATCTAAACAAACAACAAAATAAGACGAAATCCTTTGTTTTTCTACAAAAAAAAGAACTTACCATAATACAAAAATTTAATATACTATAACAGCAAGAATGTTTTTATCTGAAATTGAACCATTGAAAAGTATAAAATATGATCTGTTTTATTTGAATAAATTCAATTCTATTTCACGGCAAAGAAACAACAGATATATCTAGTTTGGAATCCAGGTCCCCCCCCTGGCAAAAATCCATCTTGGTAACGATAAGTCGGATCTTGACAAAAATTTCAGGAAATAGTGACTGTGTCAAAGTAGAGTGATGAAATTGGTATTTTGTCTGTATCGCGAGCCACAACAGTGAACAAATGGGATTGTTAGTATTTTCGTACAAGAAAGATGCACTTCAAAATGAAGCTAAAACATATGGCTAGAGGTTGACAGAGTTTGACTTTTGAATATTTGCGTTATTGGTTGTCGGCAAGCATTAGAAGTCGAAAATTTCAAAAAAGCCTCTGAGATTTTGGAAAATCGAATCGAGCCTTCTCCTGATAACCAGAACAAAACTCTAAAATCAGGCCTTGTTAATCTCTAGCCGCAAGTGTTACCTTCGTGTTGGAACCAACCCAAGTTCTTCCGCACCTTTCTGATGGGAAAATACAAACAGTCCTGAATGAAAAAAATCGATTTCAAAGAAATGTTGTGCATTTGTTGAAGCATTTTAGGTTTTACAGAAAAATTGTTATTATTTTTTAACACAAGATTAGACAGAGTTATACTGTCTCATTTTGAGTAGAAAAGTTTGCTTTAAAAATCTACCACCAGAAAACATTTTTATTGTACGAATATCTGGGAACAACTAGTGTTTGGGGATCTTGTCTTCTGAACTTTCTAGAAGATTTGCTCGAAAATCATGAAGAATCAGTTCGAATGCAGAAAGTGATACTGATTCTGAGAGTGTACACTCAACTATGAGCTAGAGAATACTTTTTATAGGAGAGATATTCGTTTTAGAACAATCTTTAGGTGTTCTTCTCCTGGATTTGATCTTCCGCTTTTCATACGCTGTACTTCTCCAACTATGCATTTTTCTATTGCACTAAATTGTGCAAAACGAAACTACGAATTATGATGATACATTCGTATGAAGGCTGTACACTTATCTATATATTTAAATAGTCTTTACAAGTGATCACTCACATGTGCCTATTTAAAGACTATTTAAATATATAGATAAGTGTACAGCCTTCATACGAATGTATCATCATAACTCGTAATTTCCTTTTGCACAATTTAGTGCAATAGAAAAATGCATAGTTGGAGAAGTACAGCGTATGAAAAGCGGAAGATCGAATTCAGGAGAAGAACATCTAAAGATTGATCAACTATGAGCTAATGAACCATATGCTTATTTTAAAATCAATACTTTTGATGAGAATCGATGATGACTATTCTAGCCGGTGGAGAGGAGATCTTAAATAAGAAAGAGTAAATGTTTCATTTCAACAATAAACACACCCAAAGATAAAAAACAAAACAATGTTGTTTATTAGACAAAATTAACTAAACATCTGAATAGAAAAACAAGGATGCAAGCATAAACACTTCACCATGCTAGCAAAAATGAACAAAGCACATAAACAAAACACTAAATATCTGTGAGTGTAAAAACGAACAAAAACAAATGATCAAAATAAAGAAAATCATTGAATAGTAACCGGTTGCAGAAGACAAAGACGATGAAGAAAAAAAGAATTCATAAGTTCGTTGAAATATTGTTCACGATGATAACTGTTCAAAATGTGTGTATTTCAAACATTATTAAAATATATACATTCACACGTGGAAAGCAAGAGTTTTCATTTGATTAAAACAAGCTTTTTTAAGTACCAAAAATAATCAATCACTTATTTATCTAGCATAGTGTCTCTCTATTGCAGATAAAATCATAATGCTAATTGGAATGTGAGCAATCAAGATATAATTTTTGTTTGTATCATTTTCTGTGAAAAATAAGTTTTAATTAAAAAGAGAAAATTAAAGATAGATGAAACGATAAAAAGTGGACTATATAAAAAAAAATGATATCAGATCTGTTTCTTATTTATTTCTTCTATGGTAATATCAAATTATCTGACTTTAATTTGTTTTTTTGTAGAAACCAGAAAATAAAATGCATAGTTGTTTTATCACCTGAGTCTGAATGTTAGTTCGAAGAAGGAATGAAAAGATAAAGACCAATGCTTTGCAAACCAATAGAGTTCGTTTTGGACCTCACAAAAGGGTATGAAATTCTTTTTTATAAGACTAGCAAGTATTCATTAAAATATAAAAATGAGAATAAGAAATGGTAACTTGTATAACAGCTTGTAACCAGTAGTTTTCCTTAGTTCCTTGATTAGTCCTTAGTTGATGGCATCATAATATTAGAAAAAAACGATAAAAAAAGGCAAATATGAGCTAAAAAATATTTCTGTGTAGTCTTCTGCCCTTTTGGACTTGATTAGTGTTATATAAAACAGATAAAATAGAATTTCTTCTTCTGTTATGATTAAGCAACATGGTATCTTTTTCATTCTGAATTCGATAAGCTAATATGATCATAAACAAATAAAAAAAGTACGAAACGCACGTGTAAAAAGTAATGTACAAAATATACAAATAAGAAATGAAAGATTGTTTTATTTTGATTGACATACACACCACAACAGAGAGAAAGAGAGAGAGAAAGAGAAGGATCAATATAAAAAAAATAAGAGAAATTAGAGATACTGTTGTTATACGCCATACACTATCTAAGTTATAGGGATACCGTTAAACAAACACGTGAATTTTTACTTCTGAGTATGTGAGATGGCATTTTTTTTCAAAATCAAATAAATAAAACTGAAGCTAGATAAAAAACTGTATGTTTGAGGTTCGACAGAAAAAAATATGAAATAAAATAAAATAAATTGAAGAATACAAATTTTGTTTGATATAACAAAAAAAAGAAAAAAAAAGAAAAATGATTAAATAAAATCAAACTTCTGTTTCTGTATTATTACTACCATTTGTCACCTACAAGCAGAACAAAAGGAAAACAAATTAAGATATAAAAGTGTATACGTTTAAAATGGTTAAACTTGAAGTATTGTAAAGCTGTTATTGGTTGAAAGCATTAGTTTATCCATCATTAGATATGAATATATATATATTTTTTGATTTTTGCTACCTGATCATAATAATCTTCCATTTTAAAAGTGCTCATTGGATGGTTTGCTAGTACTAGAGTAAATTTTCTCACTAGATACACAAGTGTTCTTTATCTCAAACATTAGTCATCATCATTCCTCTCGGATTCAAATGAGAATGAAATAATACCTGATTAAATCTATTATAGTTGTTAGTTGAAGCAACAGCAACATTAGTAGAAATAGAAGAATAATTTTTCATTTGAATTTGTTTTGGTTTATATGGTGACCAATCATTACGACTGTTATTATTATTGTTGTTACTATTGTTTTTGTTCAAATAATTAGAAGCTGTAGAATTTGATCCTGTGGTACTCATTGAAGAAGATAATGATCCATTATAACATACTGTTGATGATGAATGACAAGAAGAAATCGAGGAAGGTGACGAGGAATTACTTTTAGATGGTTTAATTATTTTTTGTGATGCAGTTGTGTTTGTTGTTATTGTTCCAAATGGTGATGTTGGACTATGATTAAATGGAATAACAAAACGAAATTTTGCCACTCCGAGTGGTGATGAACTACGATAATGATGTGATTCATTTGTTGGTGAAATCGAATCGTTTCGACAATTATCATAGTGATTTCCATAAGGACTTTCTTCTTCTTCTTCTATTTTTTTTCGATTGATTTCATCTTCAACATCTTGTAATAGTGTACGATTATTCTGAAATATTGGTTCAATAGTACGACTACTAGATGTTAACGTTATAGGCGTTGAGTATTGTTGAAATGGTGTTAAAATAAGTTTTACAGGTCGATGAGAAGATGACTTTTCGTTTAACGAAACATCGTTTAATAATGACGGAGGCTGATATTTCCGTTCAATTGTTATTGGAATATCATAAACTCGTTTCGACTTTAATTCTGTTCGAGGAAGAACATTTGATGATGATAATGCATAGTTTTGATTGATGTTCATTGTATTATTATTTCCAGTCTAAATGAGATAGCAACTTGAAAAGTTACCTATAAATCATCTCTGTCATTTATATCCTATTAATACAGTAGACTACCTGCTAATCAACATATATAGTAAAAAGTTAAAACATTTATATTACCTCTGACCATCCATTTTGTTTTGTGTCATAAATCGTGGTTGGCATTGGAAAATGTGCTGTTGAGTGATTCTCATTATTGTCTTGTACCAATGGTAAACTGATATCAGCTGCAGTCAAGTGATGATCTCTTGACAAACGAGTATTATAAAGACTTGTTTGATTATGATTTTGATTATTTGATCGAAAACTTGTTCGTTTGGCAACATTTTTCGATGGAGATTGTTGAGGTGTTTGATGCTGTTGATTATCTAGATAAGTTGAGTATGTTTGAGTACCGGTCTCTTTTTCATTTAATTTGTTATAGATATCTTGTTGTTGTTGTTGTTGTTGTTGACCATTATCCGGTTTTGGTTGTGATGAAAAACTCCGAGAAAATAAATTAGCTAAACGTGTCACATAATCAGAAGATGAAGATGTAGGTGATTTAATTTCGTCTGGTTTACGATTACGATAGGGTGTTACAGAGGAAACAGATCGATTTTGTGACTGTGAATGATTATTATTACTATTATTATTGTTATGATTACGACGTGAATTACGATGAGATGATTCTGTACGTAGGCAAAATACAGAACTATCTGGTGATGATGGAACGCTGTTTGATATAGAATCAGAGCGTTGATGTTCAATTTGTTTAAATGGTGGTTTTATTGGTGATTTTCGATGATTAATATTGGAAGTAGTTAATGGTAATTCAGTCATACTAAAACGATACATTTCAACTTGACTATTTAGAAATCTTAAAAATGTAATCTGTTCAAAACTCCTCTGAATTATGTCTTTTTAAAAATGTGCTGTGGGAATCAAAATTCTAGAATACACGGAGCACACTATCTCATACCTGTTGTTTAATCTATGCTGTTCACCATTTTTTTTTGCATTAATTCGATTATAATGATTATTATTATGATCAGATAATGTTCTTTTCGATGTGTGATTAATTTGTTCAGGAATATTATCGTAAGATTTTGGTTTATCATTATTTTTACTACTGACAATTTTTCGATGTTTATGATGATTTGTTTTATTTCCATTACTGTTTAATAATGCATCATTTGAATGTCTTCGTAGTGGTAACAAGAATGCTGGAGCATCCTTATCATCGTCAGCTACACCATATAATTTAGAGGCATTACGATAAACAGTTTTTTTTTTCAAAGATGATACTTGATCGACGTCATTTAATGATTGATCCTGGAACGTATGCTCATTGTTATTTTTAAATTTCCCAACTGGTAATGATTTGATACTACTTGGAGAATATATTTCTAAATAAAAACAACGAGATCAAATATTAGTTTCACAGACAGAAATTAGAAAGCTCATTTATGTGTAGAACGTAAACAATTTTCTCTTACAATTGTTTTGATGTTAGTCAGTGTGTCTCAGACGAATACTTGTTTAATAATTAAAGATAAATGCAAATAATCATTTACATCTATCATCTATTTTTAGAAATCTTAAAGCTCATGTATGTATTATACCTGGTGTAGCTTTACTTTGACCTCTAATATTTGTAATTGATTGAGATCCCATAATTGATGGTACAATTGAATCGGTTCCTCCTCCTCCACCTCTTGACGAAGAATCGACATCCGAATAAATGTGTGATTGAGATGAACACGATGTTCCGTTAGTAACTCGTTGTTTGCTTATAATCGGTGTTGTTTGTTGTGAAAATATCAATTGAGAACTTCCAACTATTTCAACATACTTCGCGAGTGTGTTCAATAGTCTACCCATAGAATAAATATTATTTCCACGAATAAATAATTGTTGTTGATGTTTTGACGAATGATCTATAAGCGCAAATTGAACATCGCGCGTTTTTTCTTCTGGAAATGTCAATGTACACTGTTGTAAACACAATTCATAATCATATTGATCTGATAAACGAGATTTATGAACACGAAATGATCCATCAACAATTGTACAATATTTCGTCAAAAATTGAACATTATCACATGATATGACGAGGAAACCTTAAATTAAAAAAAACAAAACATTAAACATAGTCGCTCTTTTCAATTGAAATAATCTTAATTACCTCTTAGTTCACAATGTTTTCTTGTTTTATCATCGACACCGGCCACATTTGCTACTTGCTCAAGTAATTGTGATACAATTTGTCCTTTTTTACGATTGAATTGTTGAAACATACGTCGGGCATTTTTCGATAAACTTTTGACACTATTATTACGTTCTATAAATATGTTAAATGATATTTTAGTATATAGAATCAAATACTTCATACCTTTTTGATGATCAGGTCGATTCACGTTATTATTATCTTTCGATATTTGAGCTATGGATGCATCACGAAATGCCTAATAAAATAATGACTATATATATACAAAGGTAATCTAAATTAAAGATTATTCATACCTTGAGCCAAATAGGCAGTTGACTTTGATCGACTGGTCTTACATAAATTGCTTCAGAAAGTCCAATTTGTAAACATAAACATTCAGTTTTATCAATTATTGTTGTTTGAACCTATTTTTAATAGAAAAAAAAAACTCTTTATTTCTACTTAGGAAAAGATATTTATTAAGGATTCTCTTAAAGATTTTGTAAAAATTTTCTTAAACATACTTTTGCTCCCGTAATATCTGTGACCCATAATGGTGTTTCATTTGTCTTTTTATCTGTTGTAAAACAAATTAAATCATAATCATCGAGTACATAGTATCTCCAAATCCATGTCTGATTTTCATAGGTAAGTAATAAACCATCAGCAATTATAGAGGACGAAGTTGACGTTGATAAACGAGGTGTATTTGGAATACTATAACAGATATTAAAAAAAAAGAAGTTAAAATGATAATATTTGTAAAAAAAAAATATTTGTACTCACTTTGGAACTACATTTTCCGTGTCATTTCCGTTTGATAAATAATCTAAAACAGAAAAAAAAATGAAAGAAAAATCTTTTTATTTAGAATATTTGATGAAGAAAAGATACAAACCAGTTTTATTATTAGATAGAGGCGTTAATGCTTCGAGATAATCATTTTTCGGTGTATCAATATACCACTGACTATGATTACTATGGTTACTTTTATTGCTAACACCATTCCAACTATCATAACCATGATTATTTAATGAATGTCCATTTTCTGTTGGAATTGTTTCGCTACATGGAACAATTCTTGATGATTCTTCCAATTCATCATCAAATTCATCCTCGTCACTTAGTTCAGTCTGTCCATTTGGTTCGATTTTTTGCTGTTGTTGTCGTTCTTCTTCTTCTTCATCTGTAAAATCATCACTTTCATCATCAAATATAATTTCTTCTAATGAATGATCTCTAAATAACCAAGAATAATAAAGTCTAATTATTGACACTGTTTTTCTACACTTACTTCTGATGTGAGAGGATATTGTTTTCATTCATCGTATTTAAATTCTAAATAGAAAAAAAACATTAAAATATGGTTTCTTCGTTCATTTTTAATAAATATAAGTCTTTACTAATTGTTTTGATTCATCTATTGTTTGATCATTGTAACAATCAGGTTCTAAAATGGGGAAAAAAACCCATAACATTAGAATCGATTATGATAATTAAATATCTGTTTCAATATGTGATGATGTTTATTTGAACAAATATCATACATACGTTGTTTTAAATCATCAGATACTTTATTTTCTTGTTGTTGTTGTTGTTCTTCTTCTTCTTCTCCTTCTTTCTGTTTTGTATTTTCATTGGTCGATGATAGTTGCTGAGACGATTTTGTATTTTTAATTAAATGATCTAATTTATCAATATACATTGCAGCTACCTGACGATGATCTTTGTCTAGATGTTTACTGTGTAGCATTGATCGAAGAAATGATTCAAGACCGGGTAGAATTTCTAAATAAATGAGAATAGAAAAGTTTCATTTTGTACAAGTAAAACTATAAAATCAAAACTAACAAAATGTATTTTAATAATAATAATAATAATAATACTAACCATTCATACTCATATCAACAGTGGCCATCGACTCGTTAGGAGTTTTCATTCGTTGTATAAAAGATGGAAAAAAATAATTTTAATTTTTCATATATTTTAATAAATAAAAAAATAAATAAAGTAAATTCAAATAGATAATGTTATTTGTTGTTCTATACTGAACATCGTTCTTCTTCTCTTTAGTCTAAAATAAAAATAAAACAAGAAAAAATATAGAATGAGTGAGAAATAAAGTTTAATCAAGGATGATACACAAAAAAACAATCAATTTTTTTAACAAATAGAACGTAAAAAGAAGGCCGTAGTAACAATAGAATATCCTTTGACTGTCAGTTATAATCATTATGTTTTATAATACAAAACGTTCAGAAATAAATCTGTCAGAATTGTGTTGCTCCGAAACAAAACTCTTTTTTTTTTTTTTTTTCGAAAAAGACAATAGTATAACATGACAAAAAAAAAAAAATCTATATATTATATATTACATTAGCCAAAATAAATGTAATTTAAAAAAGATTCAATTTTTTGTTTTATCCATTAGAAAAGAACTGTCATTTCAATTAATAGATGCTTCAAAAAAACGATGAATAACAGAAACTGATTAAATTACTTGTTCTATTTCTTCTTTTTTCTTTTTTTTGTTAACATCATATCAATGACAATTATTGGATCTTTGTTTCAAAATATTTTTATCTAAAGAATTTTCAATAACGACCCACAAAAGGGATTTGTTTTGATGACATTGAAATCTATATATGTGTGTGGAGTGTATATGTGTGAGAGTGAAAGGATCAGTTTACGGAAGAGGAGAGATGTTCATCAGATTTCTTTTTTTTTTGTTTAAAATTACATAATCAATCCTTAGTCTCTCTTTTTTTGACATTTCATTGTCACATGAATGAGACACAAAACTTTCAATTTTGTTCCGTTTTTTTTTTCTTCTTCTTCTATTCAATAATCTAGGACAAGGAAAATAATAGTTACAAAATAGCGACTTATTTCTTAGGTGAAAAAGAAAAATGGTATTCGTCTCACTAATAAATGATGATCACCTCTTATCAACATACTTACAAATAAAAATAAATAATATTGTTATTTATATAATAGTATTATCTTTTTTCTCTTTTTAATTTGATCAAAAATAATATCAATTGAAATACGATATACAATCTTGAGCATACCATCTATCTGTTACTATTCTCTTTAGTCTAACATTATTCTTTTTGGTTGATGAGAGAAAACTATAACATCATTTTTTTTTTGTCTCTGTTTTTTGTTTTTCGTACACCTCAATTATGAAAATAAGTATTTGTGATGATACGAAAAAAGTTACAAAAACTCTTACTCACACTCTTCTATTTTATAATAAACAACAAATGTTAACGAAAAAAAATAAAAAAAACTGAAGAATTACTTGAATTTGATTTATGTTTTATTGAAATAGAAGAAGAATATCGGACAATAAGAACAGACAATAGTTCGTTTTCTTCTTTTCATTTTAAATTTGATACTCTATGTTAAATTGTATAAAGAAATATGAACAGACACAAAAAACATTAATATTAGAAAGAAAAACGTTTTTAAATTATAAAATAGTGATTCATTGATTCGTTTAACCTTGTGTCTTTCAAAATGTTCACAATTTTTCTTCTATCAATCACTAATGAAAATAATGTGTTGTTTTTAGTAAACTATATAGTTTAAAAGGTTTTAATTCAAATTGTATATATAATTTTATTTATTTTTTTTTTTAAATATATCAAAATTTTAAAAAAAAATTTAAAATAGATCAATTGACAAATATTTGAATATAGTAAATAGATGTATGATTTTTTTTTTTTTTTTTTTTTAATTTTTCTTTTGAATTCTTGTATATATATCTTTTATATATTTGTATACACTTCTCACAACTTATTATACTCGCATGAATAAACGAAATATTATTGTTTATTTTAGATTATTATACTCTAACAAGTTTCCATTGAAAATAAAAATACATATTAGTCAAAAAAACATGAAAGTTTTCTATGACTAACATTGTAGAGTACTAATTCTTAATATTACTTTCAAATTAGTTTTTAAATAAATCATAATATAATTTTTTTAAATAAAAAAGAACTTACTCTCTCAATAAAACTCGAATTCTTTATCCAAAAAAAAAAATATTCGATTATCGTCTAGTTTTTTTTTTATGTCTATAAATCGTTGAACGACTTATTTTTGATAATACAAAAAACAAAAAAAAAACATGAGCAAATTTTTTGACGTTTGAACTAAACTAATCTTGTCTAATTAACAACCCAATAATTTGAAAATTCAAAAGAATGCGACGACAGACAAATACGACAATGTGTGTAAAAATGTTAACAAAATTTTGTTTTTTCTAAGATGAGCTGGGATAAACAAAAGAAAAATTTGTTTTTGGATCAAGATAATCATCTAACTTTTGATGTCTATAAAACAAAATACAACTCGTGTCAATTGTTCAAACAGAAAATCAAATGTTTATTCCGTTTTGCAGAACGTCAAGACTTTTTTTTTTGTATACTGACCGATATATGTAAAATATATAAGACAGGTCCTCTATATATCATGAATTGATTAATTTTCTTCGTTTAAACAATTGCGATCTTTACCCTGATAAATCTCATCATGATGTATGACAGGTTTATTTTTTTTTAATAAAAGTACTTCATAATCAGTACTTGATTTTCTTCGTTTTTCTTTTTACTTGCCCCTATCTGAATACTAATGTCTACCTCTCATACATTTGAACACATACATACATAAACACATGTACAAGCAGGCTCAGTCAAAAAAAGAAAATAAAAAAAAAAAAAAAAAAAAAAGGGGTTTTTTTTTTCGCCTCAAAGAGGTCATTCACAAATTAACATTTGATTGAACAACGACTTTTTTTTTCTTTATCCTTATTGTCACATTTACACAAAGTATCAAATCCAATGACAATTGTGAAAATTCTCCAAGACACTTGTTTCACCGTTTGAATTTGTGATACCAAATAAACGCTATGCTAGCAATTAAACATTAAAAGTTGAATAGTTTGTTTGTATAACGGAAACAAAAAAAAGAAAAAAAGATTTAATCTTAACTGTATAGATGCAAAGAATGAAAAGAACAAAAAATCAGCAATATACAGACTCAGAATAATTAGAAAGATTGATTATAATTGACCCTAGTGACAAGAATTTATCTAATATCAGCATTCATGTGAGAGAGAGAGAGAGAGAGAGAGAGAGAAAAAGAAAATAAAGTGAAGAAAAAATATTTTTCTTTTCTATTGTAGAGATATGGATAGAACAATTAAACTGTATAAACAAGGATCGATAACACTCTTAATTTAGTGACATGCATAGAAAAAGATACATCTCGAAATGAAATAAAATAAAGGAGAGACAATAATACAAATGTCTAGTCGCTTAGTTTTGAATATGGTGAGAAAATAGAATAACAACATAAAAGACAAAATAATTTGATAATGGATTTGATACTTGTGTGATACCAAGAAAGAGACGTTCTCTTGATAAGCCATTTATTTTAAAAGTAATTTCAAACAATAGTTGAGTTTTTTTGGGGGGTTTTAAAAATGATTTTCATCGGATGCATTTGACTAGGATATATTTTTAAAAGTTTCGTTTTTATATCCAAAAAGTTTTTTGATCATCTACTATTGCCTTAATTTGTTGTATAACTATCTTTGATATACCTTCTATTTTGGCCTTAATGTTTTCTCGTCTAAGGTTTATTGATCATTGATTGATTACTATTGATCTGTAAAAAAAGAGAATGTACTGTATCAAGTGGCAAACGTCATTTTTGAAAATATAGTTTAATCATGTATTTAATATTATTCTCAATACTATTCAAAACTAAACGACTAGACATTTGTATTATTGGTCTCTCCTTTATTTTTATTTCATTTTGAGATGTATCTTTTTTTTATGCATGTCACTAAATTAAGAGTGTTATCGATCCTTGTTTATACACTTTAATTATTCTATCCGTATCTCTACAACAGAAAAGGAAAATATTTTTCTTCACTTTATTTTCTCTCTCTTACATGAATGCTGATATTAGATAAACTCTTGTCACTGGAGTCAATTATAATCAATCTTTCTAATTATTGTGAGTGTGTGTGTATTGCTGTTCATTCATTCTTTGCATTTAACTTTGTCTGTTAAAATCTGTGCTTTTCATTCATATTACCGGCAGATCTGTCATCTTAACTGTCTTCTCATAAAGAAGTAGAATAAACTAATTTGAAAACTTAGTGTCCGATTCAACGTACCAATTCTTGTTCTATTAGATTAGCCACAGGAGTGTAAAAAGTAGACAGAGGATGTATTTTTAGAAATAGCACTCTCTCAAAAAGTGTTCTATAAACATTGTAAAAATGGTTACTAAAAAATAGTTATTGTACAACTATCCTGCTTTGATGGTTGAAGTACACTTCTAATTAGCCGTATTTACTACTTGTGAATATATCATTTAATCAGTTACTTTTTGAATCGGTGATAATCCCTACAGACTATAGAATAATCTCATTAGAAGAGATGAAGCAAAACAGATTTGTGTGATGTTAAACATATGATCAAAATTTGAGAATGGATAAGCTAGTGAATTTCAAAAAAAAATTGATTGATTTAAATCATTTTCATCATGTTTTATCATAATGTCAGAAACTCATTTTCTAATAAATTATTGATCACTCACTTAATTTATCAAATGATCAAGTCAATCCGTATTATACATAGTTTATTCTAGCTCACCGACACACTATATAGTCTAATCTCCATTGTTATAATTTAATTGTGCCTGTATATATAATTCTCACTCACTTACGTAACGAAACAGTTCATTTTTGTTTACATATAAGAGGTAGAGTTAGGGTATTTGTACGTGTGTATGTAGAAAAAAAAAAATGAAGGAAGAACGACAAGATATTCAAGATCAAATCTGCTCTATTATTTGATCACATAATCATAATCATCGTCAACATGTTCATATACAAATAGTGCAGAAAGAACCTTC